ATGAGCCGTGACCAAAGATAAAGAAGAAGAACATCTGTATCTATTTGTAGCCATACAAATAGATACAATGTTTGGAACCGCAATACTTAGAAATGTCAAATCTATTAGCGGTGTCCCTGCAGACAGCTCCGCTATGATATTTGACATTTAAAAGTATAGCAAAGTTGCAACATTGTATCTATTTGTATCCGAATAGAAACATCTGTATCTGAAATGGATACAAATAGATACAATGTTGCAACTTTTTCTTATTATTCATATTCTATTTCTTCTTCTTTTAAATGTCAAATATAGCGGAGCTCTCTGCAGGGACACCGCTATTATATTTGCCGGCCGTAGACGGGATGAAAATCAGCCGACTTTTTTTTACCAATGGTGGTAATGTCGGCTGATTGAACGACCGATTTTTTGTTTTTCTAAAAAAAAAACCGGCTGGTTTTCTCCCTGTCTATGGCCTGCACTAGGCTTTAAATTCGGTCATCCTAATTCCCTCTAGTACTCTAGATAAGTGAGTTCAGGTGTGCAGGCCTATAATTTGAAGTACCGTTCTGCATTGTATCAAGGGAAAGTTCTTGGAGATGTTGCTCTCTCTATCTATTGTAGAGCAGATACAGATAACGGTTCGTGTGGCCTTTTTATAGCGATAATTACTGTGCCCGTCACCCCCTGACAATTTGCTTTGTTTAACATGATAATTACATTCTCGAGTTTGCCGATGTGTGACGGTGAAGTCTGTTTCCGCTGTCTGTGCAGAGTAATGTGAGTAATATGTGAATCACAGCCCTTTCACTATATGGATCAGAGAGAGATTCTTGGAAGTGTGTTATTAAATCCTCACAACTCTCAGCTGACCTTGTTTATTCATAAGAACGCTTATAACCGTTGCTGGCCTTCATTGGAGACCACAAAGGCTGACTTGTCCCGATTGCATGAGAGCTGCTGCATCTGTATACGGGGTCTGCGGGGCACACTAAGAGGACCTGTTACTGATGAGCTAATGTAGATATCTAAGAAACAATAACATAGGTAATCAGTAATGTGCATAAGAGAGAGGGCAACCATCTAAGTGTAGTAAAAAATAGATCCTTTTATCAAGCACACAGTTAGCAACTTGCATGATAAAGAAAAACAACTCGCTCAACGATTAGGAATAACACCGCTGACATCCTGGTCCTGCAGGTCCCTCCTGGATGGAAAAGCCACAGCAGTATGTGCAAAGCTGAAGATGCAAGTGGGAGATCCAGAACCTCCGTAACCAGCTTGGAGAGAACAGCACTGAAGCAGGAAAGGACATCAATCAGGGGTGGTATAGAGGTGTAGACGTGGTTACGTGTTTCAGAGCATGCGTGCTCCATCCTCAGGCCAAGGAAGGACCATCCACTGGTAACCTGCTGGAGTACAACTGAAGGGTAGCCTTGTCTGTCATGCACGTCCTGACCCAAGCCAATGGGCTCTTCAAATGCTTTTGCCCTCTCACTACTTTGTATAAAAACTCAAATCAAAGTCCCAGCACCTCTTGGATGCCCTTTTTTGTTCATTGGATTTTCCATGGTTGGAGAACCATATCAGTCCCGTCCATCTTCCCCTTAATTTGTTTGGCATCAGTGAACTGGTGCAAGTGTGGCATTGTTAGGAGAGATGTGCACTTTGGTTTCTTCTCAGGTTGTATGTGTTTTGGAGGCTTTCAATACACTGTATGTATTTTCTGTGCTCCGGTTGAGCCTTATGGGATTTGGTGGGCCACTGACAATGTCAAGCTAAGAACAAGGGTGAAGACTTGGAAAAGGACGGAGGAGGAAATGGCAAGGAGTGGTTGGAAAAAGTTGTGGGGGACAAAGTCCCCTTCATGGCCAATAGTTATCAAATTGATGTACCCACTACGCCAGGAGAATTTAGGGGGCTAGTGGCAGGTACAGTAAAATGGGTCTTCAGCAACAAAAAGGCATTGTCAAGGGCCTGGCAAGTGATTGTTATCCTGTGTTGGCATTTTTGGTTACTGCATTTATGCTTCAGTCGTAGTCTCCACATTAATGTTCTCATGTACATTTATGTAAACTGGCATTTCTCAACCTTTTTACCCCAAAATAACCCTTGCAATAATTTTCAGATCCCAGGGAACCCCTCCAAAGATTTTTCCATTGGTGATCTTTGGGAAACTGCCACTTACATTGGTGGTGGTCAGTAAGAAGAATTGTTCCCTTACAGTGGTGGTCAAAACGACCCCTTACAGGTGTGCCTACGGCTCTGGCAAGCGGTTTTGGACTTGGAAGTATTCAGGCATCATCACTTGGGAGGTCAGTTAGCCACAACTTAAGGAACTGCTAGCTACCACTGGTGGAACCTTAGATTTCCATGGAACCCGGGTTGAGAATAGCTGATGTAAACTGTTCTTATATGCTGCAGCCTTCTTCATTCAGATATCATCTTGAAATGTTAAGAAAAATAAGTCCCAGCATAAAATGTTTATTTTAGTGTAGCAGAAGTTGCTTTGGTCCCTACTTCAAGTCAAGCTTCAAAGCCGTAGAGAACTTTTACGTTGATTTCAAGGATAATCTACCCTGGAGCAGGATTGTTTCCTCTTCACATCAGCGCTGTCAGTTTGTGTTCCTTTGTATCTTCTGAGGAAGATCTCACTCTCCATTGGTTGTTAAGGCCAACAAAGATACCATAGTTGGCCTGAATTGTCTGTGCCTTGGAGGTCTTGTGTTATCTCTGATGGGGGTCTTCACACAGCAAGTCTAATAATGATTGAAGATATGCAACGCCTTCTGCAGTGTGAATTCTGTCAGCACTCTCTTCCCTCACTGACACATTCAAGTGTCCCTGTCATTCATGCTCAGCAGGAGCAGCTATTTGATTTGCTGAGTTAATATTTAATCTTGGTCACTAATGTAGTGGCTACTTGGCACTTTATTTACATTGGAACCCCCTCAGCTCCAGACAGCTGGATTTTTGGCCTCCCAAAGTCTGCATGGAAAGCATTGCCACCAATCGATGGCTTCCTAAGACGTTTATGTCAATGGGGAGGGGAGGTGAAGAGTGGATCAGGCAGACTGATTGAGCAAACAAATCAACACTCTTCCCAAGAGCTTTCAGACAATGGACATTTGCTGGAAGGTTGTCACCTACTGGTTCAAAAACAATCAGGTGGACAACTGTTATTTCATGCCCTTGCACTGCTTTATGCAAACTTATGCTTTGCCTATTCATGGAAAATTAGCACGATTGCTTAATGGATTCCCAAGCAGCATATGTATATATACGTCCTGGATGGAAGCGGCAGGGGTGGACTGACAACTCATGGGGCCCCCGGGCAACAGGGGATGATGGGGCCCCTGTGTCCTTGCCCAAACTCAAAGCACACTCAAGAAAGCCTATAAAAAGGTACCAGGGGCATTTTATGGGGCCCCCTACTGACCCCGGGCCCTCGGGCAGTGCCTGAGTGCTCGAATGGTCAGTCCGCCCCTGGGAAGCGGTTATACCAGGGTCATGGCTGTCTCTGCTTTCAGAGTTGGCAATCGGCTTCCATGTAAAATTGATCTAAGCCTCTTTGCAGGCTCCCCGATCACTTTTATGGGGCTTGGAAGCCATCGGCCGCTGTCCTCGGGATCCCCTGTTCCACCAGGGAGCCTGGGACTGCTGTTAACGGTCGGCTGGCTCCTCACAGAGGAGTTGGTGGAACATCCATTCCTCCATCTCCTCTGTGACGAATGAAGCCGGAGTTGACAAGAATGTTGTTACTTCTGGTTTCTGTGCTGGATTTCCTTGACCAGGTCTCTGTTTGCCTTGAAGGGCAGAGGACAGATCAGGGATCTAATAGACTCAACAGCTCTCCATAAAGAGTACCAGTCATTGCCCAAGCTATCACAAGGGGTGTTCACTGTTCACCCCTTGTGATGGTGATAAAGTTGAATGCAAAAAAATGTAAATAAACATTTTTAAAATAATCAAAAGCACCCCCATCCTTTTGTGCTTGCATGCAAATGCACATGTACCGTAGGTCCTGCACACAACTGTAACTGGTAATAGCACCACACATAGGAGGTATGGAGAGTAAGGCTCCATTCACACATGTGCGACTTGTCATTCAACTTTGAACATACAAAGTCACATGACAAGTTGCAGCACAGGTTCAGTGGCACCCGTTCAGATCTATACAACTTTGAAATGGTTCCTGCACTACTTTGATGTGATTTGAGTGCCAGAGAGTGTATAGTCGCCTCAAAGTCGCACTGAAAATCGTGCAGCTTTGGAGTCGCAGAGGTGTGAACAGAGCCTCGGTGAGAGCGAGTGAATTCAATAATTCTAGTGTCATAGATCATTTTTATCTCTAAATTGGTAACCTGTAAAGGCTTTTAGGGCCATTTCAAACTACATGCATTTCAGTTGCTTTTTTTCTTCATCCAAGTCGCACAGAAAGTAGGTTATATGGTTGTCAGTGGGGGCAGCACAGTGGCTAAATGGTTAGCACTTCCGCCTGGCAGTATTGGGGTCGCTGGTTCAAATCCCAACCACGGCACCACCTGCCTGGAGTTTGCATGTTCTCCCTGTGCCTGCGTGGGTGTCCTCCAGGTCCTTCAGTTTCCTGAACTGTGAATGTACAATATATTTGTAAGCGCTGCGTAAATTGACAGCACTATATAAGTACCTGATATAAATAAATAATAGATCACGGTGTTTGCTGTTCCGGTTGCGGAAAAAAAAGTAGAACAGGCTGCATTTTTTCTGCACAGAACTGTACTGAAATGCAGTAAAACACATCAAAAACGCACTGGAACGCACATGTCTCCATTTAAATTGAAGAAAAAGAGAGGGGGGAAAAATTAACTGGATTGCATAAAAAACGCACTGGAAAGCATCAAAAAAGCACTGGAAAGCATCAAAAAAGCACTGGAAAGCGCCAAAAATGCGCATGCAAAAACGCATCTGGACTCCGTTTCTATAGTGTGAACTGGCCCTTAACCTCCCTGGCGATGTTCCCGAGTGTAGCTCGGGGTAAAATTTCAGTACCAAGAACGGTAACCCCGAGCTACACTCGGGCTTACCATGCGGCGTTGCTCAGGGAGTCCCTGCAGCACTTACCTTGTCCTTCTCTCCTGCGATGTGTCCCCTGCAGCGTCCCCGGCCATTTCCTCCAGCCGATTCTGGCTTCCGTGTTCCGGTCCCTGTGACGTTGGGACGTATGGGTACCAGAAACGGCGTGACATTTGAAATTTTTAAAAAATGTGATTTTTTTTTTAAATGATTATTATATAGTATTACATTCCTGTATCAAACCATTTCACATACATTTTGTCCCGAGTGCTTTGTCCGGCGCCCTGCCTGCATTTTGACTGTTCTTTCTGCCTGGAAACTTAGAAAAGTCCATGGCGTCCAAAAAGCGTCCCTTTAGGTCAAAAGCGGTTTTAGACCGGCTAGAGAACAGCGATAGTAAATCAGATCCACTTGCAGAATTGAGTGATAATGATTCGTGGGGGAAATTCGTCATCGGACACTGAAAACGATTTTGCGACTTTGCTCAGCGATGTGCGAATTTTCCTCTGTATTTCAAATTTCAGTGTTTTTGGTTTGATTATATTATTGAATTAAATTTATTATTATTATTATATTATTATTTTTTATGATTATTTATTAAATTATAATTTATGATTTTGTGTTTCAAATTTTATCCTACCCGGGATGTTTAGTAGACTCTTGTTCGGACAGATTTCAGTGAGTTATTCCTAAATATTACAGCCTACAATAAAAAACTACATATTTCCATGGAAAAAAATGGTACCGCTTTCAGCACAAAAAATCGGAAATAATCATACCGCCAAGGAGGTTAAAGCGCCACCTATGGAGAATTCTAGGCATTGCCATTTTATCACCATTTCACAGATGTTTGCATTTTTAAGTCTTGACATGTTTGGTATCTGTTTAGTAGGGCAACATCATCTTATATATTTTACCAAACAATTGAGTATTATATATTTTGTTTGTGAGCACTAAAACCCCCAATATTGATCAATATTTGTGTTTGATAAATGGATGCGTAAATATCGTGTGACATAAAAATGGCGACAACCACCGTTCTTCAGGGCCTCTGCTTTCAGAAATGATATAAAGTTTGGGGGTTTTAAGTAATATTCTAGCAATAAAAAGATTTTAACCTGTATGTGGGAAGTGTCAGAATTGTACCGGACGGCAAGTGATTAAATCCCCCTGCAGCAGAGAATACTTGGCGATTCATCTTCTGCTATCTTGTTCAGTGCTGGACATTGAGGGACATACTCAGTCATTTTGTGTATGGAGGATCATGTGATCACGCCATGGGCTGGGCCAATCAGTGGTGCCGTGTGCCAGTTATGACTCCAGTGACTTGGAGCTGACACGGGACTTTCCTTTTGCTTTTCCCTGCAGAGTGAATAAAAGGAAGGTAAGTACATATGTCGGGGGGGGGGGGGGCATTACAGCTGAGCTCTGGGGAAAGTAAAAATCCTCCCTTACATTGGGAAGAGCACTTACCTGATCCCCTATCCCTCAGGCTCTTCCGGGCTGCTAAACTGATCTCTGCAGCCTGTGTCTTGGCAGTTGGATGCCCTCGGCGTCCTCAAGACTGATGCAGGGCCCATAGCCCTGCACTGGACATGACAGTGCCATGCTACAGTCCACCCCCGGAGCATGGTGAAGCTCTGACTATTGGGAGAGTTGAGGATCAGGTAAGGAAAACTGTTTTTCCTGTCCACAGACCCCAAAGTGTATTTAACCCTTTAAAGGGGCAGGGGTAGCCTTACTGCAGTGGAGGATTTTTACTTCTTCTGAAGTCGAGCTGTAAAGTGAACTTGTTGCTTTGCTCTGTATGGACAAATCACAGATTCAGTTTAATGTAGAACTGTGCCACCGGGGGGGGGGGGCACATTTTGGCATGTCTACCTCCTACAGTGCTCTCTTCCGGTATTGGGTCATCCACTGCCCCCCTTGTAATTGCTTCTTCCTCAGGGTCCCGAGTCTTCTGTCTGCAGCCAGTCCTCTCCATTGGCCAGCCTCAGATGATACACTGTCATTTCTAATGGTGTGAACAGGCCCATTTAGAAACAATTGATTGCACTTGCTTTGAGCCATGCAGGCCAATGTATGTTGTGTGAACGGGCCCTTATTGTACATTGCAATGCCACCCACACGAAGGGCCCATTCACACCACAATGCAGTGCACCTTAACACATGCTGCTAAAGCCAAAAGGTAGGGCTCTGATGAGAAGAGGGACTGTATGATGGGGGGGCTTGGTGATGGGGAGGCTTTGATGTAAAGGGGTGACTTTGATTTGATGGGGGAAATCTGATGTGTAGGGTGGACTTTGACATGATATGGTGACTCTGATATAATGGGTTGACTTTGACTTGAAGGGGTGATTCTGATGTGATGGAGAGATTCTGACTTGAAGGGGTTACTCTGAGGTGATAGGGGGGACTCTTATGTGATGGGAGGGACTCTGATGTGATGAGGGGGACTCTGATGTGATGAGGGGGACTATGATGTGATGAAGGGACTCTGATGTGAAGGGGTGGCTCTAATGTGATGAAGGGACCTCTGACATGAATGGTGTACTTTGACATGATGAGGGAACTCAGCCTGAAGTATGTTGTGTGAATTGGCCCTTATTGTGCATTGTAATACCTCCCACACGAAGGGCCCATTCACCCCACGATGCAGTGCACCTTAACACATGCTGCTAAAGCCAAAAGGTAGAGCTCTGATAAGAAGAGGGACTGTGTGATTGGGGGGGCCTGGTAATGGGGAAGCTTTCATGTCAAGGGGTGATTCTGATGTGATGGAGGGACTCTGATATGATGGGGTTACTCTGATCTGATAGGGAAATTCTGACTTGAAGGGATGGGGCTCTGATGGACACAGGGTACCCTGATGTGATGGGGGGATTTTTACTTGAGGGGGTGACTCTGATAGGCACGGGGTACCCTGATGTGACGTGGGGATTTTTACTTGAAGGGGTGACTCTGATGTGAAGGGGGGGCTCTGACTTGAAGGGGGACTTTGACATGATGGTGTGACTCTGATTTGAAAGGGTGATTTAGATGTGAAGGGGGGGGGGGGCGCTCTGATGTGAAAAGGAGACTCGCGTGTGGGGATTCTGACATGATGGAAGGACTCTGATTATAAAGGGGGCTCTGATGTGATGTATATTTCATCAGGGCGGTTGTGTACATCATCCCCCAGCTCAGGTTTCCCATTGATAAGTAACACTGACATTCTAGTTTGGGGTGCCTCTGGATTTTTCACTTTTAAGGGGTGCCGCAGCTGATAAAAGGCTGAGAAGCCGTAAAGACTTTTTCTGCAGATCATCGATAAATCATACGACTTCAGCAGAAGTGCCCCATCATCTGCGCACAGCTTTCCGAGCCATGCTGCGCTGTCGAGTGGTGAGATGCAGCGCAGTGAGATGAGGCGCGGTGAGATGCTGAGTGGTGAGATGCGGCGCGGTGAGAGGCTGAGTGGTGAGATGCGGTGCGGTGAGATGCGGAGCGGTAAGATAAGGCGCGGTGAGATGCGGCGCGGTGAGATGAGGCGCGGTGAGATGCGGCGCGATGAGATGTGGTGCGGCGAGATGCGGCGCGGCGAGATGAGGCGTGGCGAGATGAGGCGCGGTGAGATGTGGCGCGGTGATATGTGGAGCGGTGAGATGTGGCGTGGTGATATGCGGCGCGGTGAGATGCGGCGCGGTGAGGTGAGATGCGGCGCAGTGAGATGAGATGTGGCGCGGTGATATGCGAAACGGTGAGATGAGATGTGGCGCGGTGATATGCGGAGCGGTGAGATGAGATGAGATGCGGAGCGGTAAGATAAGGCGCGGTGAGATGCGGCGCGGTGAGATGAGGCGCGGTGAGATGCGGCGCGATGAGATGTGGTGCGGCGAGATGCGGCGCGGCGAGATGAGGCGTGGTGAGATGAGGCGCGGTGAGATGTGGCGCGGTGAGATGATGTGGCGCGGTGATATGTGGAGCGGTGAGATGTGGCGTGGTGATATGCGGCGCGGTGAGATGTGGCGCGGTGAGGTGAGATGCGGCGCAGTGAGATGAGATGTGGCGCGGTGATATGCGAAACGGTGAGATGAGATGTGGCGCGGTGATATGCGGAGCGGTGAGATGAGATGCGGTGAGATGAGATGTGGCGCGGTGAGATGAGATCAGGCGTGGTGAGATGTGGCACGGTGAGATGTGGTGAGATGAGATGTGGCGCGGTGAGATGCGGCGCACTGAGATGCGGTGAGTTGCTGAGCGGTGATATGCGGAGCGGTGAGATGTGGCACGGTGAGATGCGGCACGGTGAGATGCGGTGAGATGAGATGTGGCGCGGTGAGATGAGATGATGGGCGTGGTGAGATGTGGCGCGGTGAGATGAGATGCAGTGCGGTGAGATGCGGAACGGTGAGATGCGGCGCGGTGAGATGTGGCGCGGTGAGATGAGATGCAGCGCGGTGAGATGATGCGGCGCGGTGAGATGAGATGTGGCGCGGTGATATGCGGAGCGGTGAGATGAGATGCGGCGCGGTGAGATGAGATGTGGCGCGGTGAGATGAGATGAGGCGTGGTGAGATGCGGAGCGGTGAGATGTGGCGCGGTGATATGCGGAGCGGTGAGATGAGATGTGGCGCGGTGAGATGTGGCGCACTGAGATGCGGTGAGTTGCTGAGCGGTGATATGTGGCACGGTGAGATGCGGCACGGTGAGATGCGGTGAGATGAGATGTGGCACGGTGAGATGCGGTGAGATGAGATGTGGCGCGGTGAGATGAGATGTGGCGTGGTGAGATGTGGCGTGGTGAGATGTGGCGTGGTGAGATGTGGCGTGGTGAGATGTGGCGTGGTGAGATGTGGCGCGGTGAGATGTGGCGCGGTGAGATGTGGCGCGGTGAGATGAGATGCGGCGCGAGATGAGATGCGGATGAGATGCGATGCGCGGTGAGATGAGATGCGGCGCGGTGAGATGAGATGCGGTGAGGTGAGATGAGATGCGGCGCGGTGAGATGCGGTGCGGTGAGATGAGATGCGGCGTGGTGAGATGTGGCGCGGGTGAGATGAGATGCGGCGCGGTGAGATGAGGTGAGGTGAGATGAGATGTGGCGTGGTGAGATGTGGCGCGGTGAGATGAGATGTGGCGTGGTGAGATGTGGCGTGGTGAGATGAGATGCGGCGTGGTGAGATGAGATGCGGCGTGGTGAGATGAGATGCGGCGTGGTGAGATGAGATGCGGCGCGGTGAGATGCGGTGCGGTGAGATGAGATGCGGCGTGGTGAGATGTGGCGCGGTGAGATGAGATGCGGCGCGGTGAGATGAGGTGAGGTGAGATG